GTTGTAAAAATAACTAAATACAGCAAAAGTACAATTTAGGCGCCGGTACAATATCTGTAACCTTGCCCTAAGTGACCTAATTACGCCCTGGTCCATCGGCTGGAGCTTTGAGGTAGTGTTTGGTCAATGATTGGATAAAAATACTAATAAATAATAATAAAAAAATTTCTAGTCCTTCCTTCGTATATTGCCAATAAATTTTGCGAACCCATTGCGAATAGTATGCCATCCATTCAACATTTCTTCTGACTGCAATAACGGCAGGGCATGCCGGAAGGGCCTTTAGGCAGGAGTGGTTGACCAAAACACAAGGAGACTTTTCAAAATATCAACACAATATTTTACTATAATATCTAATATAAATAAAACTTTTAATTAACCCAACCGTTCTCCAAAAAATGTCACTTTGTCTACTACTTCTACTATTATAAATCGCGTGTACAATCTAATTAACAAAAAAGATTATGACATGCTATTAAAAAGTCTACTAAACAAATCCACTGTTTCTTAGCTACTTTCTAGATATCATAAGTACATTTCATTCTATGCCATTCTTAGCTTTACAAAGTGCTAGAACGATTTCAAATTATTCATTCTACTGGCACTCATTTCAACAAGCTGTTAGGCAATTTTTTAAATGTTAATTTTGTCGATTTGTTTTTTGTGTATCTGAGCAATCATGATATTTTTCAGGTAATTGCCTCCAGTTTATTACCTAACCCATGTTTTTACTTTCCTCGTAACACTAAAGCTTCTTTCACATGATGATGTCGATAGAGACATGGTGTAGAAAAGCTTCATTAAAATGCGTGTTCGTTTATTGGCAGCTTTATAGCATTGAAAATATCTGCAGTTGTTGCCGCTCTGGAAACACTCTGTGTTTTGATTGATGCAATAACATTGTACAAGTTCTTTAACTCAACTTTTAGTTCCAAGATGTCAAGATCAATAAAAAATCAGTTCATCAATCTACCTTCGTGCTACCGAGGTGAGAAGTTCTTCTTGCTCTTGCAAGATGTCATGAGATTAAACATAATTGTTATCAATCATCAACATTTCTAATGCCTTGACACTTTTACTCTTATCCAAATTAAACTGGTAAATATTGGATTCTTTATCATTATCACCTCTTATAGCTACACCCTGTCGAAGCAATGATTTCAATGTTCCAAAATGAGCTAGCAAGCCTTTTCTTCAAATGCTTGCTTCTCCATGTACATTTGGTCAATTTGAGCACTAATTGTCTAAACTTATTACTTTCTTTCTCAATCTTTCGAGCACTTGCAGCCTTATGAACACTGAAGTCCTTGTGATCTTTTAGTGCTGCTGCAGATTTTCTCCATGTTCTAAAACCTTTCCCGACTTCATGCTTAAACACTCCACCAGAACATGAATTGTATTTTGTACAGGTTTCACAAAATACAGCTTCAGTGATCGATTATAAAATAACCAACTAAATTCATTAAACCAAGCCTTAAAACAAGTTCTTCCATTTCTGTCACTATTTTTTTTTATCAATTTTACTGAAATCCACCGCTTTTCTAACAAGATTTTTGGTTAGAATTTCACCATCTTTTGCATCGGACTCCTGTTTTATGTGTATAATTTTTTTTGCACCATTTGATAAAACTGTTAACTTAAGTTTTTGACTTTTAATGAACTGTTTATCTGCTTTGATGACTTCACTTTCTTTTACATATCTAAACCTTATTGGTCTACAAAACATTGTTGAAGAAGGACGAGTAAGAAGCCAGGTTACTTTTTTTTCTATACCAATAAATCCACTTAAATCTAATGGAACAAAGCAGATAATAAACAGGCTTCCTTCAATACTAAGATTGGGTACATCTTGATCCGGCGCAAATTGTTTGTATATTGCCTGACCTGTTGCACCATCAAAACTAACTTTTGATGTTAAAGTTAATTTTGATACACAACTTTTTGAAATAGCATTACTTTGTAAAGAGATCAATTTTAATGCAGTATGATTTAAGAGACTCTGCATATTAACTGATGCTGAATAACTGTTAATATCCCAAGTTTCCATATCTGGATAGCATTGTTTTTTAGATTCTTTATCATTATTATATGCTGGATAAAAGTTATTGTGGCCTTTAATTGCTGCTGCAGATCTTATAAGTTGATATGCATTTTTATTCAGTCCACGATCTAAAACTAATGCAAGCACTTCATCAGCTGAAAATGTTTACGCGCCTGGTAAATTTCCTATTTTTTTACATTTTGTACTTGCAGCAAATAATAATTTTTCTGGTGTATTTTCTTTCACCAAACTGCTTATTCTTCTTTGTTTTGTTTTAAAATACTACTTTCATAAGTATCATTGACTTCATATAAATACACATAACAAGTATAGTGAAAATAGCATAAAAAACCTGCAACTCCATAAAATAACTTGTTGCTATGCAAAATTAGGTATCCATAGGTAACCAAATAATAAAAAAAGTACATTCAAAAAAGCCTAGACCTCATATTAGTACTCGTGCCAAATTTGATGAATATAGCACTAATAGTAAATTAGTTATTAGTTTTGTCTCAAAATTTGCCATTCTGGCTCACTTTGCCTTGTTTGAATAAAATGCTTTTTATAAATGTAATGCCTTTTAATGAAGCTGCACGAAGCAGTAAACGCCTTAGAGATGCATAATAAGTTTAAAAGGTGTAGCAGAGTGAGATAAAAGAACAAAAGGACAGATGCTCAGTGGAAAATTAGGAGCCTCTAAGTAGAAAAATAATAAAAATTAATCTAAGTAAAATGTATTAAATATAAACAGGAACAATAAGCAATTGTTGGGGCAAGTATTAATTGTTGTGCTATTAAAAAGTTGTTAGTCTCAAGCGTAAATATGATGTATAGACAGTGTCAGTGATGGAGCAGAATTATTCGTTTTATATGTAATTATAAGTTAGTTACAGTTACAAACACAAACATTGTGTTTGAAAGTGTGGCAAGTTAAAAGATTTTCCTCTTTAACGGTCACATGTAAATATTTTATACAAAATCTCGTAAACGCCAAATAATTGAATATTTAAATTTTACTTAAATTTTGACTAGCAAAATTTATTTTACAATATTCCATATTATTCCGGATCTTTAGTCAATATGTTCATACTTTAAGGGGTGATCCAAAAGGTATGTACGCTTTTATTTCAACCTCCCCCTATCAAATCATCCCCACACCCCACACATACATTTTGCTATATGCTTTTTTGAGTACCCTCCACCTCGTATCTACGCTTTTAACCTACCTACCCAACATTTGATATTTTTTTAAATTTAGTATCACCTTACTTTTAAAATTGACTAACTGCCCCAATCTCATATACGCCATTTGCAGACCTCCTATTCCTCATCCGAGCGTACGTACTTTATAGACAATCCCTAATTTGAAAATATCTTGGTCTGATAAAGCGTTAATACGAATTCCTAACTTTTCATAAGAACAAGTACAACAAAGATTGTCTAAGAACGCCTTAATGCGACTAAAAAATAATTTTTGTTAGCATATCTTATATTTAAACAACAATGAAATATTTAGCTTTCAAACAACATTACAGGTTTTGAATATGTTAGTGACTCAAGGGGTGATTTAAGTAAAAAGAAAAACACCAAGTGAAATAATGACAGACACTAATTAAGTTTTGAAGAAAAGACCATTAAATGTTGCAGCACATTAAATTGTTGTTGTAAAAAAAGTTAAGTGAATCTTTTAAATCTACTTAAAATAAATAAAACTTTACAATAAACAACAAAAGATGAAAAAAAAGTGTATCAAGTTATCTACAAATTGCTTCAAAAATGCACAATGGTCTTTCAAATAATTGTAAAATGCAATAAGATTCGCTAAACTTCATATCTCAAAAAAAAAAAAATACAAATGTTGATTGGTTGCAAGGTTTTATGAAAAGATTACCAGAGCTGCTTTGTTTGATAAACTGCTTTTAACCGGCTCAATATAGCATATTGCAAAATTGCAAAAAGGTAAGAAAATGATTAAATCTATTTTATATATATATATATATATATATATATATATATATATATATATATATATATATATATATATATATATATATATATATATATATATATATATATATATGTATACATATATATATATATATATATATATATATATATATATATATATATATATATATATATATATATATATATATATATATATATATATATATATACATGTATATATATATATTTATATATATATATATATATAAATATATATATATATATATATATATATATATATATATATATATATACATATATATATATATATATATATATATATATATATATATATATATATATATATATATATATATATATATATATATATATATATATATATATATATATATATATATATATATATATATATATATATATATAATAGTGACAAAGCTGGTAGTACAACCGTCTACTAGTTTAAACAGCAGAAGAAGTAAGAAACTTGGGTTAATCACATATGAAAAATAAATTATTACACGTTGCACTTCAAGGATAATTAGAAATTTTATTCATCCCCCATATGTTTTCAATATTATAAAATTCCACAATTAATATAATAAGTTCTTCCTCAACGTGCAGGGTTTGCAAATTTTCTGATTGAATGATTTCAGACATTTTTTTATAGTGGATAAAATATTTTGTAAAATGTTCAATTCGTACTTTGCGTGACAATTCAAACTTACAAACTCAAAACCTATGATTGTTTACAATGTTATTTCAATAGATAAAAAACATTGAGTAACCAGTACGTTAGTAGCAATATCAGCGTCACAATATGTTAGCACGCAAGCGTTGTTTTAGCGTGTTCTGCTGAGCCAAACCGACAAAAGAATGTGCAGGGTATTTTTAAAAATACCCGTGAGGTAAATTTTAATAGAATAAAAAATGTAAACAGCTATTTACTTTTTTTTTTTAAATGTCTGGATTATCCTTTATTTATTTTTTTCTTAGTGAAGTATATTTGATTTTGTCATTATATAGAGCAATTTTTATATAAACCACGTGGTCAAGATTTGTACACACAAACTATTTAACTCAGCGGCATGCCTCGTTTACAAAAAAGCTGACAAAGAAGAATAACAAGTGAAGACAAACAGCTTTTAAAGGTTTAAATAATTTATGGTCAATTCATTTTTTTTTTTTTGGATAAACATGTTTTATCACTAAAAAGTAAGCAATTTTAACACACGGTATTTTACTATCTTTACTAAAAAAAAGCTAAACATATAATTTACAGTGCCATAATGAAAGTAACATTATTAAACATTATGGTATTAATCATTCATACGCATAGCTTTGTGAATGGGGTAACAACTATTGAACGCAATGTTATCCAAAACACTTTATTAGATCTCTTTGGAAAGCATAATCGTCCAAGCCCCGAAGTTTTCTCTCATATAGGTAGAAACGCAACGTCAGCTAAGAAATATATGCTAGACTTGTATGAGTATTCAGTCAATACAGAGCGTCATGGTATGAATAATTTCACAAGTCCAAAAAATATATCAAATATTGTTGATGATGCGGATACAGTTGTCAGCTTTCTAAATAATGGTTTGTAATTTTTTTTTTCTCAATTTAAAAATTTATTTTGAATTAACATGCACAGGTGAGTACATTAATATTTTGAATAATTAAATCTATTATTTAGAAAGACTAGTTCTTATATTTTTTCATTTTTAGCGGGAAATATGGTAAGAAAATTTATAAAAATTGGATACCACTGTAATGATGAAAAAGAAGAAAGGCTTATAGTCTGTGCTGCATCAGTAATAGGACCTCTCAAGCTAAAAAAAATCTGTTACATGGTATTTAATATTGTTAAACATTTAAAAACCCAGTTTTTATTGCCTTCGTCTTCATCCACCAATTTGCTTAAATTTTTATAAAATTTATTTTACTTTAAAAAAAACAAAACAAAAAACCTTGAACAAATATTTAATTAAAAAAATTTTTTCTAACTTTTTTAGTTGACAGCGTTTTTTTTTTTTTTTTTTTTTTCTTTTTTTTGTTTTAAATAAATATGCTTTTTACAAATACAAGATTTTTAGCTATTAAACATATCTAATGCAAAAGTTAAACTTCATGGGTGATGGATAGTTGAGATTAAAGTGACAAGAGAGCTACTTCTTTAGTCTGAAAAAAAAAGTTTGAAAATGTGGCAAATAAATGAAATACCTAGGGAAATTGTTTGGTAACTAGATTGGTAACAAATTAAAGTTTATTATTTTTTCATATTGAAACAGGAGAGAAAGTAAATAATAATCTTACTGTCGCTTTTAATTTTTTTAAAGTTTTTTAAAAAATATTAAAAGCTACAAATCTGACATTTTAAAATCCTTTGTGCTCTAGTCTAGTTGTAAAGATTACAACCGTGACAAGAATAACTGTGACAAGAATAAACGTGAAAAATTTAAGCGTGACGAGAATAACCGTGAAAAGAATAAGCGTGAAAAAAATAACCGTGACAAAAATAACCGTGACAAGGAAAACCGTGACAAGAATAAGCGGGACAAGAATGACCAAAACAAGATTAAGCTAGTCTTTTTAAATCAGAAAAATCTCTAGTTTTTTCTGCCTCATGGTTTTAGTAAAAAGTTTTAAAGATGTTGTCAGTCAATTGGTTGTGAAATATTATCCGTATCACTCTACTGTTTGAAATGCTACGAAAAATCTTTAGCGAGTTATTGGCCAAGTTCTTCTTATTTTAGAAATAATGCATCGTCAAAAGATCAATGATGAAACAATTTTATCAACAAAAGAGAATGTTATATCTTTTAATAGAGGTGTCAAATAAAAAAAAAAAAAAATAAAAAGCACTTTGATGGTTGCAATCCTATTTTTACAATATTTTTCAGTCTTCACTGTGGAAGCTATTTTTTGGGACTAAGACTGGTTGCAAACCAATTTAATCATGTTTTGCTGAAAGATCAATGTTTTTCTACATTTAAAACGTTCAATGCATTTAAACAGGCATGTGTGAGAGAGTGAGAGAGAAAGAATATTGCAAGTTCTAGGAATTGAACACAAAAAGTTTATGCTTAGACCAAGGAGAGTGACATTGCCTAGAGAAAATCATAATTGCTAGGTAATGTCGGGCATTTCAGCATTTTTGATTGCATTTTTACAATTTTAACAGTTTTCTGTGCAAAAAAAAGTTAAAGTGCCTTTTGAAAGCATACAAAGTAACAATTTTTTTTAATTGAACAAACTTTGAAGGGAAATAAATGGAAATAGGGTGGTGCTAGATTAGGTGAATAGGGCATCTCACCCAAACTCTATCAGTTTTTGAAACCAAAAAAAAACAGTGACAATATTTACTGCTTTAAATTTCAATTTTTACTGCTTTTGCTACTAACTAAAAAAAAAAAAAACAATAAAAAAAAAAATCGTTAATAATAAATAAATTGGTCAGTTGTTATTTTAGTAGCTATTGCCAATAATTAACTATAATTTGTTCTTGTGAACTATGTTAAATTATTGAAAGGTTCTGGAGGTTGAGTTAAGTTGTCACTTGGCGCCGCACAAGTTTATTAGGTACAATAAAACTGATTGCCTTTTAGATACCGCTTTAACAAGTTTTTAAATACAAGTTTTATACTTGGTTTGCTACTGTTACTGTAAGAGTGGTTTGCTGTTGCTTGGTTTATTTGCTTCTTATCATCCAACGTAAGCTTACGTTTTTCTTAACTTTCTTTGGTGCTTTTTTGGTGTAAGTATACTTCAATCTCGGCTACATTTTTGTTGCTTTTTTTGTGTCAACACGAATTTGAATTTTGAATTTGTTTAATAGTTGATTAATTTTCTTAATGTCAAGTGGAAACAACCGGTATTTTAAAAGGTTTAAAGAATTCTTTTAATAAATTTCTGAACTTTGTCTTTGCCAAAATTTATAACGCGCCTCAAACTCTTTTTGCACCGTATTAAATGCCAACATCTAGTTGTTGCAGGATGTAAAAAGAATGAGCTGGTTAACAATTTAACAAGTATTGTTTAAATACAAATAAGTACAAGCCGGTAACATGTGTCAAGTGTCAATCTACGAGTATAATATGAATACCTATAATTCTATAACTATTATTCTATAACTATATAATACTAATATATAATTCTATAACTATAATCAAACCGTACAAAAAAGCAGCAAAAATGTATCAAAATGCAAGCAAGAAAACTGTATAATAACATTCTTATAAAATTAGATTGCTGCCTAATTCTTAATGAATAAACTTGCTTAAACACATCTAACGCCAGCATAAAATCTGGTCATAGACTTTATGCTAGCATTATGCGATGAACTCTCAGCATTAAATAAAATCTATGACCAGATTTTATGCTGGCATTAGGCGTGGAGCTCTCAGCAATAAATATAAATTTACAAAACTGGATAAGTTTGGCAGGAAATGTATGACTTGGCAAGCAATTTGTAGCTGTAGCAAAAAATGAAACCCATTTATAACCTCAAAATTGATGAATGCCAAACTCTACAAGAAGAAGTGTTCGGAAAAATATCTACTATTTATAAAATCTTATAATGTTCCTGTAAAATTTTGGCCTGATTTAGCAAGCTGTCACTATGTTAAAGCAAAAAGTCCAAACTGCTTAAAAGAAAAAAAGTGGAAAAAACTTTGTGACAAAGTTACCAATAGCACTGTGCAATACTTGATAAAGGGTGTTAAGCCAAAAGCTTGTAGTCTTGCTCAAGGAAAGAAGATCCAGTAATTTAAATTATGTCAAAATATTGATTAATAAGTACTCTATATGTAAAGATAACTTAAACATATATATATATATATATATATATATATATATATATATATATATATATATATATATATATATATATATATATATATATATATATATATTGTTATAATCTCTTAAAGTTGAGTCAATTTTTCCGTGGCTACGCTTTATTTATTATTTAATGATTGTTTATAACTTATAATTATAACTTACAAATTTTAAGTTAAAATGAGTTTATTAAAAAACTAATGATAAATCTTTTTTTTTTTAAATTTAGCATATATTCCGAGACCAAACACATCTGACGAAGCTGGTGAAATGTTTTTTGATGTATCTTCAAATGATGTTGTTGAAAAGGTTCTTGCTACTGCTCTTCAGGTTTACCTCGATACTACGTACAAAACTGTCACAATGGAAAAGTTAAGAATTTCTATTTACAAGATAGTTGTTCCTAAGAAAAAGTACAAACTGTTAACCTCAAAACTTATCAACGCATCAGTTTCTCAATGGCACGAGTTTAACGTTTTAGAAGCTTCATTGAGCTGGATTGAGTTTTCAGAAACTAATAATGGAATATTATTAGTATGCGAAAATCAGCAAAAAGAAACCATACCTATTGAAGATTGTGGAATTGTTGATTTTAAAGGTAGAGAGCAGTTTAGACCATTTCTTGTGTCTTTTTATCAATCCGGTAAAGAAAAGGAGTTTCCTGCAATAAAAATTCGGGATATCGAATCAACCTCAAATCTACATGAACGTTTAAGACGCAGTATGCAAGAAAGTATTTTTGTAGAAGTGGCCGGACAGTTCGCTGCAGCCCAAAAAAAAATGCGTTTAAATATTTCCCAGAATATTCACGGATCTCGGTGTGACAAGCATTCGTTGTATATTAGGTTTAAAGATATTGGTTGGAACTTAATTATAGCGCCCGAAGGTTATGAAGCTAATTACTGTGGAGGAGAATGCAGTTTTCCACTCGATAATAACGCAAGCGCCACAAATCATGCAACTATACAAACTCTTGTGCATATGATGTTTCCAGAAATTATCCCGAAACCCTGTTGCGCGCCAAACAAACTTAAAAGACTAAAGGTTCTATTTGAAGACGAGCGCCATAACGTTGTATTGTCGCATTTTCCAAACATGATAGTTCAACACTGTGGATGCCAGTAGTTTAAAAAAGCTAAGGATTTAAAATGTCCATAAACGGGTGAACGCAAAGATATTACTTGTTTTTGTAAAATCCAAAAAGCAAATACTAAAAGCTAATTTTAATTAAAGTATCAACTTACCAATCAGGAAGCATATTAAATTTTATTCTGAAGTATGTGACAAGAATCTGGCATTAAACTAAACAAGCGTGATAAAACATTCTAAAATGAGATATAGAATTCTGACCTATCCAAAAGTACCACTTAATAAAAATAGTTACTTATTCTGAACTTTTAAATATATTTATGAATTAAAAATTTTACATTTTAAATAATGTCATTTTGTTTGCAGTTTATTAGTATTGCTACTGCCCAGGTGCTTTGATTTCGTCTCTAGCACGGGGTCAGTGATCTTCTGTACCAATAAGCCTCCTTCCTTACCGTGACGCGAAAATATGTATTATTAGTTATAATTATTAGTCATATTATAATTATTAGTTATATTATAATTATTAGTTATATTATAATTATTAGTTATATTATAATTATTAGTTATATTATAATTATTAGTTATAATTATAATAACTGTGTTATTTATATGCATTTTTGAAGAACTTTTATTAAATAAGAATACTAAACAAAAAATTGTGTTAATTGGAGCCTAGGAACAAAAAACACCTTTAAATTTTTGCCTCCACACCCCAAATGTGAGAGCAACAGTATGATAAAATTTTTTTGTTACTTTTCTTAAATAAGTTTATATTCATCGGTAAATATTAAATTTCAAAGTATTATCTCTTAGTGTTTAAATATTATGACCATTTATACTTTGCCCCCCCCCCATCCTTCCCCAATTAGGGGGGTTACAAATGTTTACATAATTTAGCGCAACTTTTTTAAACATAAAGTAGATTTTTGTTTTATGTAAAAAAAAAAAGATTTACGATGTCATGTTGCTTTCATTTGTTAGCATTTATATTGGTATAATGAATTCTTAATGTAAAAACTACCTATTTTTACCAGGTTCGTTTATTTCAAAACCCTTCGATTTTTTTACAACAATAGTAGGGTAGAGTACATGACAAAATTTTTTCGAAACTAGTGAATCCAGAGCCCATTTGATGCGCTAAACACGATAATCGGGGAATTTTCGGCCTACTCACACTCCTTATGCCCAAAATTGCCATTTTTTAAAGCGGATTATTTTTTTTCTCCAAAACAGGCAAATCAATATGTCATTTGTAATATTTTTCGGGCTGGGGAATACAAAAAACACACTTAGATTACCGTATCTGTCAAGTTGTTTGAGTAATCTATAATAACATGTTATTTTTCTCGTTTTTCTCGCTATTGCACCGCTTTCTCCTGAATGTATCTTCTCACCAAGTGAGACGGTACACATGACAGTCGTCATGTGTACCGTCACGTCTGCAATAGTATAAAATAATGCCTACTGCTTCAGAAGCCATCATACCAAAAATATACTATACAATGGATTCAACAAACACAGTAAATAAAAGAAGCGATCGTGCAGTGAAATGCCTCTTCGATGAAGCTTACAGCAAACAAAAAAAATTCATCGCTCGGCCTAAACTCCGGAGTAGAGCACACATGTTGGATCGAATGCTTCATCTGTGCACCACAAAACCAGAAAAGAAGACTCTGTCTCAAGAGGCTGCCAGTGAAAATTTTGCAGCCAAATTCATCAAAGATTGGATTGCGAAGAACGTTTATTCTTTCTTTATGTCAATAATGTTGCGAAGAAATTTCGCACTGACAATCAGAGATTTATCAAATTTTGCAAACAACAAAGATATAAAAGTCATAAAAAATTGGATGAATTGTACGTAGAAGTAAATGAGTTCGTGGAGTCGGAGTGGCGACATTTTCAGTGGAGTTGGAGTCGGAGTCGCTAAACATAATTTTGACTCCGACTCCAGTAGTAAAACTTCTCGGTATTGCACGTGAATGTACAAAATATTTAACATTCAAAGAATTTTTAATATATTTGGCAAAAAAAAAAAAAAATTTAATTTTCGTGTAATATTTTTTAGAGAATTTTTCAAAAATTTTGCTTTGGACTTGGAGTTAGAATTGTAGTCAGAGTCGGAGTCAGAGTCGTACTCTGAAAATTTTAACGATTGGAATCAGAGTTGGAGCTAGTACTTTTTTTTTATGACTCCATAACTCTGACCAGAACATGTTGACAGCAGCCTTCCTAGTGACTCTGATCCTGAACTCAAACTTCTTACCATGAAACTGGAAGAATCTAATCTATCATCTGCAGTAACAAGACAAAAATCAGAGATATCTTGATATTTCCAATAATGGATCTTCTGGGGGAGGATGACCGTAAAATCTCTACGTATGATGAATTATATAGGGATGGTTTGCAAACATTTTTTGAAAACAAAATACCTAAACTCAGAAATCTGAAAGCTGAGAAAGACAGTTATCTGAAATGGACTTCTTCAAAAATCTGGATATCGCTTACAAAAGTTGAAACTGGCATCTCTCACCAACATAGGGTGTGAATCAGATTTCGCAAAATTTGACAAACGAGTCAAAGTATGTGGTGGCTCCAAAACCGTCACCAAATCATCCAAAAAAAATGTAGTGATGAAAAATGGTCTACTCAAAGATTCATCCTTTGCCGAGCTTGCATGCGGGGACAAGAGAAACAAATAGAAATGGTTGAAGACGTCTGATGAGTTAAAGCAGGCCATAAAACTAGAAAAGGACTTTACAGTAATCGTTCAAGTCGCCTAAAGACTATTGTGAAAAAACATAGATCTGAAAAAGCAGCAAAATTCAAAATGCTGGAAGGTTGTAAAAAGCATGGAGGACCTCAGCGAAATATGCTATTTGCGTCTCACTGTAGCTCCTGATATCAGACAGAAAAAACATGTGAAATTAAACAACGGTTAAATTAAAATGCAAAAACTTACTCTTAACGAATTAAAAATTTCTATAAAAAAAACTTTTTTCAACCTGTGAATGTTCTTACCGACAACATGGATCGAACCTTGTCGACAACATGGATCGAACCTTATCGACAACATGGATCGAACCTTGTTGACAACATGGATTGATTTCTGACAAGTGTTTTAACTGCTGAATAAATACTCAATGATTCGGTTTGTGATGAACAAAGAACAAACTGTGTCTTATTGATTTTGCCGCTGAATTGCTGCAACTCGATTTTCAGATCAATCTCTTAACTTCGGGAATGTCAAAGAATTGTAAATTTTACATTGAAATTTGAATTCTTTGACTCAGGAAACCATAGAAAGGACATATCACAAGGTCTAATCTGGATCAAGATGTAGGGGCCTAAGAAAAAATTGTCATTATATCAGTTATTTTGAAAAATGGCCGCGATCCGACATATAGAACAACAAAATGCTTGGTGGATTTAAGTTCAGTATGGAATTTGGCCTCAGAAAATGCTTTTTCAGTGAAACTCGAAAAAAGTCCTTATGTACCCTCCCCTAATAATAGCACTCTTACCTAGATTAACCTTCACTTTAAATAAATATAAAATGCATCTATTACGGACGCTTATAAAGATTTCTTTACATAGATTTTGAATTTTTTAAACAAAATTTATTTTATTGAATATTCAATAAAATATTTGTTTCTGATTTGTAATGAGGAATATTTTAAAACTAAAAGTATAAGCTATTTTTATTTACCTGTTAAAAATATACAACATATGATATATATATATATATATATATATACATATATATATATATATATATATATATATATATATATATATATATATATATATATATATATATATATATATATATATATATATATATATATATATATATATATATATATATATATATATATATATATCGTTTTTGCTATACACTTATACAAATATTTGCAATAATTGCAAAATAATGTTTGGGCATAATAATAGTAGAATTTGTTGTTTTATGTTTTATAACTAATAATTGAATTTATAGATACTAGTGACAATAAATTATTACTGAAAGTATTACCATTTAGCTGCCTTATTTTGAATCACTTTGTACCGATTTGGAATTGAGTTGATTATAACTTGATATTAAGTTGACTAGATTTTGACAACTCATCTTGAACAACGTTCATATTTGGACTGATTTTTTATATTTAAAAAATCAGTCCATATTTGGACTGATTTTTTAGTTCTTTGTACAAATATATCTCGCATTTGTACAAAGATTTTTGAAATGTGGTAATTGTGCAGACAATCCATAACTTCAATCCCCTCCTCCCCATACGAATTTTTTACCCTAAGACTGGTATGTTTTGGGTCATAGTCTTTGATGAAGATCTTTTTTAGCGACATATTCTCTTCTGAATAGAGAAACATGATGCTTTGTTAAGTTTCCACACAAATATGCTTGTCTGTAATTCCATCTTTCTTATACACGTGTCTTACGTCATAGGCGGAAAATAACAGGAATGATTTATTTTTATTCATCATGTTAAACAGTTTTTATACTGTAGTGTGGTTTGTAGAAAGAGTTAGGTAGCCTTTTTTTTTTTTATACCCTGCGTCCACTTGACGTCCAAATAAAACACTTTTGCTTTCATCAGACCACAAATTATTCCGCGGCTAATTATTCCAACAAATTATTCCGCGGCTAATTATTCCAACAAATTATTCCGCGGCTAATTATTCCAACAAATATCCAACTGATCAAAAACTTTTTTTCAGGTCTGACAACATTAAACTTCATGCTGGTTTCCAAGACCATAGAAAATATCTTAAAAAGAAATTGGCAAAGAAGTTGCTTAAAAATATTTTAATTTTTAAATCGGAAATTTATAACTTTGAGAGAATCATTAAAATCTGTGATTTTTTTCATAAAAATTGCGTTTTTTTTTGAAAAATGAAGTGTTACAGATATCAATTTTACATTAAAAAAAAGTGTTTTTTGGTTCTTTATAGACATTTAATTTTTGGTTTTCTATAGACCTATATGTCTACTTTAAAGAATAGGTAAAGCTTATGAGGTATTTTTTTGTACAATTTAATGCATAATGTTGTTGCATAACTTGCAAATATATAATTTGCATCTGATACTTCATACTGGTGTTTTATCAGTATTAACAGTACTCAAACGGAACTTTGGTTTGACATTTAATGTAAAACCAAACATTTACACATTACATACATTACGTACATTTGTATGTAATTACTGTTATTGTTATTATTATTATTGTTATTATTATTGTTAATATTGCCATTATTATTATTATCATCATCAGCATGATCGATAGAAATTTGGACGATTTTAAATTAAATTTTCTCAAAAATCACTTAATC